GCTACATGGGCTATTTTCAGGATGAGTCCTTGATAACCCTCAATTCCCTCTCTTCCTTTCAGGAGAAACCCTCAGGCATGCATGCACACAGAGTTTCTGGAGCATCATCTAATATACCTGAATGCAGAGCCTCCTAAAATCTAGATGTCCTCAAGGGCAGCAACAGGATCTGGGATGGTACTCTGAATAGAAATGAATAAGAAAAGGCCCCAGCAGAACTCACTCCAAAACCAGCCCTCCAGATGACACTAGGACTCCCATCTCATGTAGGCAGTCTGACATGTAACTGTGAACACAGATCACAGCTGCACCCAGAATCAGCACCTGCGTTACTCTTCCTTTTTGGATTCTAGAGGCTCTAAAGGAGCATAGTCATCCCACATTTCTTGAAAGGTAACCACTCAACTGTACAATCCACAGCTATAACCCTGTGTCTCATCCCATTGGGAGTCCCTAGGCCTGTAACTGCTGTAGACTAAGGAAGAGGCTGTCTTATCTGCACCCAGATTCACATGTGCAGGAAGGCACCCATGCCCAAACTTGCTGGCTCTGACATGTCTCCCATCTATCATCACTAAATGCTCACGCTTGCACAGTCCTCTGTGCCTACGAATGCCCCTCTTCTCTTAGAGTCTGCACCTGCAACTGCAAAGCCTGAATCTTCTTTTGGGGGTCCTCAGATCTTCACTATAAAAGCCCTTTTGCTCTCCACAGGGATCGTCTCTCTAGGATCCATTCCTTCTCCATAATAAGTTAAATGCAAGGAACCAACAGTATTTCTGTTGAGATGTGAAGGTAGTGTGTAAGGGGATCAGGTGTGCTGTGCTTGCTCTCTCTAGCTCAGTACTGCTGAAAGACGGATGGGGAGTTATTGAAACAGGGCTCTGGGGAGAGAAGCATCAGCACCACCCGGGATTGTGTTAAAAATGCAAATTCATGCACCAGACCTCAGAGAGAAGGCTGTTGTATTTCTGGGATCCTACAGAACAGGATGATAGAACTATCAGGCTGCAAACATGTGTTATTCATCATGTGAAGGGAAATATGACTTTGAAGGTGATTCTGAGAATGCCAGAGCTGCCGCTGCTTTATCGGCCAGGCTTTGGGTACAGAGCTGCTGCCCAGGATGTTAGGGTCATCACTGATGCTCAGGGGGGCCTGGAGGGCAAGGCTGCCACCCCTGTGGGCCCAGAGATCAAACACCAGCCAAAGAGGATAATCGCTGAGCCTTAAAATGTAATGGAATTTGCCCTGTAGATTTAGACTTGCTGAGCAACCATGACTTCTTTCTTCTTTCCAATTTCTCATTTTTGGAAGGGGAATCTCTATCCTAAGCCTGTCTGACCATTGTATTTAGGAACAGATAACTTTTAGCTTTTACAGGTTCACAGCTGGAGAGGAATTTTGCTTCAGGATGAATCATATATGGAGTCTTACTCATTTGATTTAGATGATTTTTAGATGAGATTTGGGTCTTATAGTTGCTGCTAGAATGAGTTAAGCCTTTTGGGCTTTTATGATTGGTGCAAATGTATTTTGCATGTGATAAGGACATGAATTTTGGGGATCCAGAAGGCTAAGTACTATGGGATGAATTGTGCCCCTGACAAATTCATATATATAGAAGCCTTAAGCCCTGGTATTTCAGAATGTGACTGTATTTGGTGATTGAGTTAAAATTATGCTAATAGGGTGAGTCTTAATCCAATGTGACTGGTGTTTTTATAATCAGCAGAAATTTGGACACACAGAGGCATACCAGACCTGTGTGGGCACAGAGGAAAGACCATGAAGGACATAGCAAGAAGGTGGCAATCTGCAAGCCAAGGAGAGAGACCAGAAGAAACCAAATCTGTCCACACCTTGATCTTGGACTTGTAGCTACCAGAAATGTAAGAAAATAAATTCTGGTGTTTAATCCACCCAGTCTGTGATATTTTGTTGTAGCAGTTCTAGCAAACTAATACAAAAAGTAAGGATCTGATTGTTCAATCCTGGGACCTCCAAGGATTACCCTTAGTCTCTCCTTTCTATGGGATCCCAGGTCCCCAGGCTCTGAAGATGTCAGCTTTGGGAGCCTGACTCTTCAGATAGCCAAGTCCTTGGAGGGAGGTCATAGGAAGAAAGCAGAACCTGGGACACTTCTATCATACAGTCTGCCCATCCGTGGGATAACAGGACAACAGATTCAGCAAAGGGGTTTCTCCGCTAGGGGACTGTGTAGACATAGTGGGAGGACTATTGGTTGATTTTGGAAACAGAACTTTCTGGTCCAGTCTTTGGACACATTGTTAACTTTCCTAATTCTCAGAATCTTCTAGTTAGATGGCATGTTGCCTGCATTTCTCACAGGAATATTATGAGTCCCATGGGTGATTCTGCCTGTGAAAGCACTTCGTAAATATAAAGCACTGCACATATGTGAGCCTTTGTACTTTACTCATAGAACTTTGGCCTTGTATCCTCGTTCCTAATGATCTCAGAATCTAAAATTACTAGTGTCTACCCAAAAAGGGGATTTTTCTCACCCTCTTATAAAATTACTCTGCTTCTATTTTTTCCCACATGTAAAGCAGGTTCCTATTTACTGTAGGGAGAGTGTCTTGTGACTGCGTCTTAATTTATAAAGGCGACTGATGACAAAACAAAGAACCTAATACCACTGAAAGATAATTTTTATTACTTACATTTGCTGAGAGAAGGGTCACACCAGACCATGTGGGGACACAGGGAAAGTATCATATTTTGGTCAAGAGGCAGAAGCAGGAGAGAGGGGAAAGCCTAGGACAGAGCCTTTATTGGGGTTTGCTGGGGAAACTCAGGACAGGACAAACAGCTTACAATTGACTAGTATGAATAATTCCCATGAGCCTTGGTGCATAGGGGATTTCCCTAATTGTCTGGCACTTGGCCCTTGGTTGATTTAGGGCAGTGGAAATATTGGCTTGTTGTGTGAGATTTGGGAAACAAGATGGGTGGAGGTGTGGGCTATACGTTGTTTAGTTGCATGTGAAAGAGGTATCCTTGTCAAGTCCTTTTCTTTTTCTAAAATTGGCTAGTCATGGGAGAGGCAGTATCTCCCTAATAATCAAGGTCACAAATGTCAGAGCACTGAGAGTACAGAAAATAAGGTAATATAGTAAATATAATTGATCCTGTGATGAATGGATGCCAAATAGAGAAGTGCAGAGTCTAATAAAATACAGAATTAGAACAGAGTTAATTAGGGAAAAAAAAGGTACTGGGGGAGCATCTTTCTTTTTTTCAGATTTACTTTACCTCTTCCTCTCTTTTCTGCACCTCTATTCCTAGGCGGGCCTATGCAATTCCAGATCCCCAGTGAAACCTTGGAGATGACACGAGAAAGAGAGAGAGAGAACTTATAGGGAAGGGAAATCTCTGGCTCTCTGAGGTGGGTTTTTAGATGTTGAATATAGCACTCATCACTGTCCATTGCTCATAGTATGAGAGAGGCTTCCAGTCACTAAGACAACCATTCCCAGCCTCTCTCTGGGCCTGGAGCCCCTCCTTGAACTGATCCTCCTCCTATGTGTGCAGTTTATGCATAAACTCCAGTTTCTTCCCTAGAATTGGGCAATAACTGTCTTGTTCTCCTGAGTTTCAGTGCCTTTATTGTTCATAAAGAAACTTCTGGATTCAGTGGATTTGGACTTTGTCAGAGGCTGACCCTGGCCTTGAATTTTGCAAAGGAATTTCCAATTATTTCTTCTCTGGGGTGAAGTGACTGATACATATGCTTGACACTTTCTTGGAATTTAAATTTTGGAAGAGCTTGCTCTTTCCATGCCAAGGGATTATCTTGCTCACAAAGGTTTCTACTATACATTTGAACGAGGCAGGGGGACTCTTCCCTCTGGAATGGAAGATCCTAGTTCTGCATTCTGTCCTTAATAGTCTCCTGATTTCAATCTTCTAGGATCATCTCTCCCTTTAGTGGGGCTCAATTCTTATCCTGGATCTTTGGAGCCTGCATTTTTGAAGTACGTCATCCAAGAACAGCTGGCTGTTCCCTCTATCCTTCAATAGGCTATATAGCACGTGGTAAGTAGTATATTTCTTCCAAGCGCATCTGTAGATGGGTCAATGAGACATTAAAAGAAAAGGTTTCTGAATCAAGGGCATTATAGTAGAACACCTTTGAAGCTTGCTATGGGGCCATACCTCCAAATTTAGCTTCCACTCACCAGCAAGTAAATTTTTTAAGGAATGACTTCCCTAGCACCTTGGCAGGCAGCCTTTATGATGCAGGAGAGCATGGTCTGGTTATTGGACCCCTGTTGACCCAGATCCCTGTTTAACTTTTGAAGGTTTTCCATATGTCTCAAGAATTCTCTTAATGTTGCTTAAGGACCAGGGGAATACTCAGGCTTAACTTTCTTCTTGAATCTCCAAAATTTGTGTCACCTTGGGCATTGATATTCCTTAGTCGGAGTCTCTCATTTTCCTGCTCAGCAAAAACAAACGTCTGTTCTCTGGCCCAAAAGTGAAACTTCCGTATATTCCAATGATCTCTTTTTAAACACAAACATCTATGAACTCCAATCAGAATGAAAACTGCCCATGCTACTTATCAATAGGCATATTGTACATGCACTTTCATTGGAAACCCATGGACTATTTTCTTCCAACAATATCCAACACTAATTTCCTGACTGTATTCACTCTAATATTCCCATAAGTACACCACTTTGTCAACCATTCTGTTTCATCTCATTCAGAGGCTAGGCCCAAATTCATTCAATTTTCCTCAAGCAGAATTGGATTAAGGCTACTCTTGTCAGGATACTAGTCATCAAAACGATGCAAAGCTGTTTTATTCATCAATACTATGCCCATAAATGTCCCATATTCAACCAGCTGATAAAACACCAATATCCATCAGGGTCTTCCTCAGAAAGGCACGTGGCTTCTCCTTAGACTCTTTAACGACTTTCTGAGCATGAGTGAATAAAGAACTGAAATGTGCAAAAACATACAATTTACATTTTCCTGGTAAGATTGGGATATTTTCTATTCCTTATCCAGGGAAAGTGGAGCCTGGATACAGTGGAGTCACGGCTCACGAGCAGAAAGGGGGTGACAGTTGGAAAACACTCGGAAAGTAGGGAAGCAGTATTCACCAACCACCAACTGGGATAATAAATTACAGCAATACAAATGTGAATGATGGAGGAGAGGGTTTGAAATGATACAAAGGTGCTCACCAGTACGAGGATGCTTTGGGTGGCTCTGGACTCAGGGGAGAATCTGGGGTAAAGATTATTCCTGTGAATGTATTGGACCCACTGCTTGTGACTGTACAGGGTGAAGATCATGGAACCACTGGCCCAGATTATGATCACAGAAAATGAAAACTCAGGGAATACTATTAATGCTACATATGTTGAGCTTGTGATTTTCTCATGATCATTAGCAAAACAGTATCCACCATCCCTTTTCCTCATGATGTTTTTCATGCTCCATTTGCTAGACACATACAACACATACAAAGGAACAATTAAATTCACAAACATGTACAGGATCCAGCAGAGGAAAATGGAAAAGCCAATGTACATTGGGGCTTTGACTTTAAGATCCTTCCAACAGGAGTTCATGGGACTGATCTTGATGGTCTGGAACACACTCAAGAGGCAAGTGGTGCTAATTGATACACCCCTGCCCACTCTGTGAACATATGAAAGAACTCTTCACCCAAAATCATTGAAAAAACGTTTCAGCCCAAAAGCTGCCATTGTTTGGGAGATTGCTCTAGAGAGAATGATCAAGGAGTTGGATATAGTCAGGTGCTTGAGGATCAAATCTGTGGCCTTCAACCTGCATTCAGTGTGGTAAAGGAACAGGTAATGGTAAAGAAGAGAGAAATTGCCCAGAATTCCAATTATAGTCTGTGACAAAAGATAATTGCTATTATCAAGTTCCTGGAGGCTATTCTGTCATTCAACATGTTTTCCTCTAAATTATGGCAACAGTCATTCCTCTGAGACAAAAGGCTCATTGAAGATTTTTGACACCAAGAGTAACTTGCATTGTGTGCTTCTGTTTGATGCCAAGACTTCACAAGACAGGAAGAGCTGGAGAGATAACCAGTATATTTCATGCAAAAGCCAACACTAAGGGTGAAGTGGTATTAAGTTGGTGGAAATAATGACAAGTAAGAGTAAATGTAAAACAACCGTAATACAGTATTTTCAGAATAAGCTGAAATTTGCTAGCCATATTGGAAAAAAGAAAAACCTTAATAATTACCCATTTTATAAATAAATTAACTCTGAATGGTAGGATGATGTAAATTTTAAAGTTATAATGTAATTTTTTAGCAAAACAAAAACAATTTCTATGGTCTTAGAATAAGAAAATATTCTTATATCCTAAACAGCATAGAACATATCCATATGGATGAAATGACTTTGGATTATATTAAAATTAAGAGCTGGTTCTCATCAAAACACACACACACACACGCACACACACACACATATACACACACACTAGAAATACTTAGAAAGAGCATGAAGAGCTACTAAAGACCTATAATAGAATAAACAATGGGCAAATTGTTCCAACAGAAACTTCAATGAGAGGTATACAATGGATAATGCATGTGTAAAAAATATTCAATGTCTTTAGTAAACACAAAAGTTCAAATATAACTGTACCTGGTACCATCAAACATCACCTAGAAATGTAAAATGAAATGAAAGAAATACTAAGTTTTGTGAAGGAAGTAAATAAAACAAGAATGTGATACATTGCTGGTGGGTGTTAATTGGTACAAACACTTTGGTAAACTGTGTGGTACCTACTTTAGCTGACCAAATGTAACTCTGTGTCCCAACAATTCCACTCCTATGAATATAATCAACAGAAATTTGTATTGGTATCACCAAAGACTACTTACAGAATTTATATACCAGCACTACTTACTACTCAAAATAGCCCCAAATGCAAGCCTACCTGCTTGCCTGTTACCAGTAGAGTGAACCAATTAATGATTTGATATTCAAACAATGGAGTCCCACATAGAAATGCTAATGAATGCCAAAAATAGTATACAACAATACAGATAAATTCACAAAAATCATATGGAATGGAAAAAGGGCCATTATTAAACACTGCATGCTGTATGATTCCATTTATATAAAGTACAAAACAGGCAAAGGTAATCTAATCTTTCAGATGTTAAGATAGTGGTAAACCTATTCCCAACAATTCCAGTCCTACAAATATGCCCACCAGAACTACACTCTTGGGAATAGTGACTTATAGGGGGCACAAGAGGGTTTTAGGGGAGTGACAACATTCTGTTTCCTGATCTATGTATTGTGTAGAGAGGTGTGGTCATTTGTGAAATTCCACTGAGCTGTGCACTAATAACCTGTGTATGTGTCTTTAATAAAAAATACATATCCCCCTGAAAAATTGGAAGTTGCTGTGGTAAGATAGTTCCTGTGAGTGTGTGTGACCTACTGATTGTGTCTGAACAGGGTGAAACTTATGCATCTATGGGCCCAGATTATAAGCCCAATAATGAAAAATCAAGGAACAATAACAATGCTGCTTAGAGTGAGACTGTGCTATTGTCACGAAATTCAACAGAGCTTATCCTAAATCTTTGTCCTTTGTGATGACTTGTTGCTCAATTTGGCAATCATATACATAGGAAAAATGATATTTACCAGTATATACAGGATCCAGTATAAGAAAATAGAACCTCGGGCCGGCCCCATGGCTTAGCAGTTAAGTGCGTGCGCTCCACTGCTGGCGGCCCGGGTTCGGGTCCCGGGCGCGCACTGACGCACCACTTCTCCGGCCATGCTGAGGCCGCATCCCACATACAGCAACTAGAAGGATGTGCAGCTATGACATACAACTATCTACTGGGGCTTTGGGGAGAAAAATAAATAAATATATAAAATTATTAAAAAAAAAAAAAGAAAAGAAAAGGAAATAGAACCTCAATATCCTTGGCAGCTTTATGTCCCACCCACCTGGAGTTCATGGAGTTGATCTCAATGGCAGGGGACACGTAAGATGCTGATGGTGCCAATGGACACACCCTGCCAGCTCTGTGAGGATAGAAATCAATTTGCATTCAAAAATCACTGAAGAAATGCTTCAACTAAAGGCTGCCATTGTCTTAGGGACACCTTTAAAGGAAATGACCAAGAAGTGAGCTATAAACAGGTGCTTTAGGGTCAAATCTGTGGACCTCCTGTATTCATTGTAGTAAAGGAAGAGATAATGGAAAAGAAAGGAGAAAATGCCCAGGATTCCAACTATAGTCTGAGATAAGTAGATCATGCTTATTGTCAAATCCCTGGAGGCCATTCTGCCAGCTCCCAATGACTGATGTTTGTATTCAGAGCCTGAGGATCCTGAATTTGAACATGTGGTGGGGACTACATGTATCATATCAACTGAAATCCAGTATACTCGCTCACAAATATTTACTTAAATTTTGTTTTGGTAAGAAGCTTCCCAGAGTAGGGTGTGTAATCTTTCAGTAGCACTTACAATGTATGATTCACCACTATACTGCAATATGTATAGTATCTTCCTTGATTTTCCTTACTGCATGATGTAGGCACTGGCATTGTAAAGATAAGGAGTCTTAGGTACAGAAAGGTTAAATAATATGTCTAAATTCATATGCTGGTGTAGGGCCGAATGGAGACATGAACTTGGCTACGCTTGTTGTCAAGACAGTACCCTAACTCCTGTGTTACACTAACAAACCATGTCAGCTGTGTCTTTAACTAACCCAGACCTATATTTAGTATTTCATTTTATACCTTTCCATTTTATTTAATATTATTTTTATTTTGTTTTTTTAATTTTGGTTGCAAAAAGTTCCCATTTTTGTTTAAGAATTTATTCTCTCTAGGTCAAAATCAAATATGAATGACATGTTAGAGCTCATAGTAAAGTGGAGATGCAGTAATTACAGGCTAATCCTGAAGGATAATTCCCCTTGTCCATGTTAGATTTAACAAATGCAAGATCTGCTCAATATTAGTTTGGCAGTGGAAAGACTAATTTGCTATCACGCCAGAAACAAAAACAAAATGGCATGTACCAAGTGAATTATTGGACAACATTACCTTGTTCCCTAAACTGTGATGCATGAAATACTGATACGTGATAAGACAGTGTAGGATAGACACAAAGTTATTAAGAATTTTGGTTCAAATGCTTAGGTACTTATTAATACCTACATTAAGCAAAACTATTAGCAATAAGGCAAGATTTTTGAAACAAGAAAATACGAGAGATGTAATATGGAATCTGAAGAATATGGAATTTTGTGAATTGTATAAACTGAAATCACAAGGAAATGAATTATGAGCTTGGGATTGAGGTTGGAATATTATTAAACCAGATAAAATGAGAGAAGATATATTTGGTCCTGACAACTGTTGTCTGAAATCCATAATTATGAAGTTATCTCTCCTTAAACGTTGCTTCTCTGACTTCAAGAGGGAAAGCAATTCTGCCAGTCATCAGACACCAGACGTTTTCAGTAGAGACACAATGATTGTCTCCAGTAAGTTATATACTCATATACTCACTGTTAGATAAAAGATATTTTTTTTAATTCCAGAAAGATTCATATAAGTGGTTTCCGCAGAGAATTAGAAAAATTGTAACAGTTCTACACTACTCTGTATTATAAGCATGAAGGCATTATAAGCACACCTCTAATAAAACTGAAAATTTAATCTATGATTCCTCTAATGTAATGTGAACAGAAGAATGATTTCATAACTACAATCCTTAAGTACCTTCAAAATGATTCTTCGTAATCACTGGGATAATAATCCCATCAGTAATCACCCTCAGTGAGGATTTCATTAAATTCTATTAGAGGACATCAAGGAATGGTGTAAGGTTCTAGGACCCTCACCTGTCTTTACAAGCTCAGCTCATACCTGAGGAATTATTCTGCTTCCCTGTCTAGCTTTGCCACTGGAAATCTTTCTACCTCCAGAAGCCCTTTTTCAGACATGAACACTTAACTTAGACTTCCTTCTTTACAGACTGCTCTCTTAGGCTGATATAGAAAATACTCACCTGACTCTTTCCATTGCCAGGATGGTTGGCTTAGTGTGATGGCCATGATGGGCAGTATGTGTGTGGGAGGGAGGCAAGCAGACCCTGAGATAAAGGTTTGTGAGTCTGTGACCTCACCTCCCCTGAGAACTGCAATTTTCATTTCACCTGTGGTGGCAGTGGCAGTGCAGTCTTGAAGAGCTGATAATACTTCTGAAAAACTTTTTCCCAGTCGCTAATTACCAAAACCAATTACAAGTTTTTGTATCTCCAAAAAGACTATTGATGCATTTGGAGAGACTCTTACTCTTTTGTGATCCATGATGGAGACAAGGTCTCTTATGGAAGGAGTAGTTAATACTGATGACTGCCTCATGAGGACTGGTAGGGATGTATGCGTAACTCACAGGATTCCCTGAGAGGTTCTTCCATTAAAAATCAAGTTACTCCTTAGACTCTTAAGCTGCATCACTATTTAAGTTTCGAGCGGATATCTGGAATCAGAGAAAGTTCAGGAAGAATTTCTAATGAGATAAGTGTAAAGGAAGAACTTGTCAATAGTTGACATTGGAAACCATTGGGCTCGTTTGTATAACTAAATGCAAATTAAATTGGAGACGATGATAGGAACTTTTCTAGGATATTGTACTTCACCAGTTGTCTCCAACAGTGATATGAAGTGTAAACAGAGAAATATTCACAGAAGAAAGAGGGATGTTTATAAAAGTGTCCCTTATACATAAAAGCATCAAGATCAGATAGTTTTTTTTCTTTCTTTTTTAAAAGTTATTTTACTGAGATCATAATGGTTTATAGCATTGTGTAATTTTGAGTGTACATTATTATTTATCAATTTCTGTGTGGACTGCGTCATGCTCACCACTGGTAGTCTAAATTTTACCCATCACCATACATTTCTCCCCTTTACCCCTTTTGCCCACCCCCCAGCCAGCTTCCCCTCTGGTAACACTAATCTGTTGTCTTTATCCATGTGCTTGATTATCTTCCACATATGAGTGAGATTATGCAGTATTTGTCTTACTCTGTCTGGCTTGTTTTGCTTAACATCATATCCCCAAGTTCCATCCATGTTGTTGCAAATGGGATGATTTTGTGTTTTTTATGGCTGAGTAGTATTCCATTGTGTATATATACCACATCTTCTTTATCCATTCATCTTTACCAGGGCACTTACACTGTTTCCACTTCTTGGCTATTGTGAATAATGCTGCAATGAACACAGAGGTGCATAAATCTCTTTGAATTGTTGATTTCAAGTTCTTTGGAGGAATACACAGTAGTGGGATTGCTGAATTGTATGTTATTTCTATTTTTAATTTTTTGAGAAATATCCATACTCTCTTCCATAGTGGCTGCATCACTTTGCATTCACACCAGCAGTCATGAGGGTTCCCTTTTCTCCACATCCTCTCCGACATTTGTTATTTTTTTGTCTTGGTAATTATAGCCATTCTGACACGTATAAGGTGATATCTCATTGTAGTTTTGATTTGCATTTCCCTAGTAATTAGTGAAGTTGAACATCTTTTCATGTGCCTGTTGGCCATCTGTATATCTTCTTTGGAAAAATGTCTGTTCAGAGCCTCTTCCCATTTTTTGATTGGGTTATTTGTTTTTTTGTTGTTGAGTTGTGTGTATTCTTTGTATATTTGGGAGATTAACCCCGTATTGGATATATGATTTGCAAATATTTTCTCCCAGTTGGTGGCTTGTCCTTTCATTTTGTTCATGGTTTCCTTTGCCTTGCAGAAGCTTTAGTCTGATGTAGTCCCATTTGTTTATTTTTTATTTTCTTTCCCATGCCTGAATAGTCACGGCATTCAAAAAGATGCTGCTAAGACTGATGTCAAAGTGTGTACCGCCTATATTTTCTTCTAGGAGTTTATGGTTTCAAGTCTTACATTCAAGTCTTTAATCCATTGTTAGTTAATTTTTGCATATGGTGCAATTTAGAGGTCTACTTTTGTTATTTTGCATGTGGCTGTCCAGTTTTCCCAACACCATTTATTGAAGAGATTTTCCTTTCTCCATCGTAAGTTCTTGGCTCCTTTGTTGAAGATTAAATGTCCATAGATGTGCAGTATTATTTTTGGGATTTCAATTCTGTTCCATTGATCTGTATGTCTGTTTTGGAGCCAATATCATGCTGTTTTGATTACTACAGCTTTGTAGTATATTTTGAAGTCAGAGATTGTGATGCTTCCAGCTTTGTTCTTTTTTCTCAGGATTGCTTTGACTATTCGAGGTCTTTTGTTTTTCCATATAAATTTCAGTATTCTTCGTTCTATTTCTGTGAAGAATGTCATTGGGATTCTGATTGGGATTGCATTGAATCTGTAGATTGCTTTAGGTAATATGGACATTTTAACTATGTTTATTCTTCCAATCCATGAGCATGGAATATCTTTCCATTTCTTTATATCTCCTTCAATTTCTTTCAATAATGTTTTACAGTTTTCAGTGTGTAAGTCTATCCCCTCTTTGGTTAAATTTATTCAGAGATATTTTTTTCTTTATTTGCAATTGTAAATGAGATTGTATTCTTGAGTTCTCTTTCTGCTAGTTCATTATTAGTGTATAGAAATGCAAATGATTTTTGTAAGTTGATTTTGTACACTTCAAATTTACTGTAGTTGTTGATTATTTCTAATAGTTTTCTGATGTAACCCATCAGAAAAGGATTTAGGATTTTCTATATACAGAATCATATCATCTGCCAACAGCAAGATTTTCATTTCTTCCTTTCCAATTTGATACCTTTTATTTCTTTTTCTTGGCTAATTGCTCTGGCCAAAACCTTCAGTACTGTGTTGAATAGGAGTGGCAAGAATGGCCACCCTTATCTTGTTCCTGATCTCAGATGGATGGCTTTCAGGTTGTCACCATTAAGTATGATGCTGGCTGTGGGTTTGTCATATAAGGCCTTTATTATGTTGAGGTACTTTCCTTCTATACCCATTGTTGACAGTTTTTATCATAAATGAATGTTGGCTCTTGTCAAATGCTTTCGCTGCATCTGTTGAGATGATCTGGTGATTTTTATTTCTCATTTTGTTAATATGGTGTATCACATTTATTAATTTGCAGATGTTGAACCATCCCTGCATCTCTAGTATAAATCCCACTTGATCATGGTATATGAGCCTTTTAATGTTTTGCTGTATTTGGTTTGCCAATATTTTGTTGAGGATTTTTGCATCTATGTGTATCAGTGATATTGGCCTGTAACTTTCCTTCTTTGTGCTGTTTTTGCCTGG